GGAATATGTTATAGCAAAATTGAAGGCTCGGTGTGCAACACCTTGTGGATGAGACGAGAAGACTAGTTTGGTCCTTTGATGTACATCAAAAGAATCTCGCGGTCGCGTAACGGTAAAAAATGATAGGTTTTTCAGTCGGGCGTCGCTCCTTTGTAATCTTCAAAGGACAAATATCAGACTAGTGATTGGTCAGGTTCTTTTTACCTGACACCAATCAAATAGCAAGCTGCGTGCCTTCATTTTTGCTATAACATATTCCAAGGGTGTATAGCGCAGGATTGTTAGGAGTTGGTCCGTGTTAGTGCATGTTAATGTGAGCGGTATTATGACGATTTGGTCCGTGTTTGTGCATGTTAAGGTGAGCGGTATTATTACGATTTGGTCCGTGTTTGTGCAGGTTATGGTGAGCGGTATTATGACGATTCGGTCGTCTATAGTTCCGCTGCTGTTGATGGAAGATCTTTCAAATCATCAGTGCTATATTAAACCAATAATGTCGCTTGTTTTATATTTCTACTCCACTGAGCCTTCTAACCACGGCAGTAAACACTAAGGTACAACCATCGATACTTCCGAATGGAACAGTAGTCACGTTACAATAAAGGCTGATGTTAGGATCAATAGATCAAATAAGAACAATTTAAGTATTCATTTGAAAAGCCCAAGGCCCATTTCTTGGTTTTATCAGCCAATAGGAAGTTGCTAGTAGGCGATTCTCCTGTCGTTTGAATGGAGTTAGGACTATAAAGTCTTCTCACTGCCAAATACTATAACCTTCCGACACTTAAGCTGATGAATCATACAGTCAAGTGCACGTCATTGAAATTAATTTTAAGAACCTTAATACAAATTGAATGAACATTTAAATGGCGTTTGTAGAATTTTCTAGTTAGTCATTGAAAGAAGCCCATTAGTGAACTTTCAACCCGATATAACGTAATTCCTTTATCCAACTGAAGTCAGTGATACCAAGTGAAGAAAGAGCCCTTTACCTTGTATTGAGTATGGATAACGTAAGTTCTTTGAGCTGAAATATTCATAAATACACAAAAGAAATAAGTCTAAAGTTGACATAAAGAACATGACTGCTCGAGTACAATTCTTGTTGAAACCTTTCCCGTTGATTAGGTGCTTGGATCTGGTTTGAATAACGGTAATGTCTCTATGGCAATACAACGTGGTATAGTTTCTGTAGCTGACAGCTCGTATGCGGCACATGTACATCACATGCTCAGCTCTTATAAAACTTACCTCTGCATGTAGAGCCAGCACTTGCTTACCACACAGACATATTCTCCCTAGCACGTGCTTATAGATAAACTCTGTGTGCTGGGTGAAAAGCAAGACATACACAGTAGCTACCCAGCACGTGCGTATAGATAAACAATGTGTGCAGTGTGTTAGAAGCACGACATAGCTAGCATGTGCTTATTGTGCGTGCTTAGCAGATAGACATATTTCTATACCCGTGTGTGTGTGTGCGTGTGCGTGTGCGTGTGCGTGTGTGTGTGAAATAGGACCTAGCTGTCACAATTACTATGTAGAAGTCCACTTTTGCTATTCATGTTATAACCGATGTCAACAATAGATAAAAAATGAACCACAAAAACATTTGTCTTGTCTATTGCAATGTGCAAAATCTTACTTTCTATTTGGTTTTAGTGTGTTAAACGTTTTCAAATCTCGTTGATTCAGCAAACATCAGCAAACATCAGCAAACATCAGCAAACATCAGCAAACAATGCAAACACAAAACAAAACAATGCATTAACAATTACAAACGATACACAACCGTTTACTTATAAACTTGTGCTGGTTCGTGGATTATGAACAGGCCAGCAGCTGTAACCCACTGTATGTTGTGAGGGACCAGTAAGATGGAGGCCCCTTACAGAATCAGTGGTTTTCTTCTGTATCTTCCCATTAACATGCTCGATATACAAGGGTTACGCTCACTTTCCCTCTTTACATATCCCTGGAATATGTCAGCAAAATTTGCAACACCTTGTGGATAAGATGAGAAGACTAGTTTGGTCATTTGATGTATATCAGAAGAATCTCGCGGTCGCGTAACGTTAAAAATGACAGGATTTGGTCAGTTGTGTTTTACCTGACACCAATCAAATAGCTAGCCGCGTGCCTATATTGTTGCTATGGAATATTCCAGGGGTGTAGAGAGCGAAAGTGAGCGTAACCCCTGGATATCGAGGATGCCCATTAAAAGACATTACAGAAATTACAAAATTCATCTGAAATCTTCTTTGCAATACTTGTGAGCTGTCGTTTCTTTTCCTACACTGCAAGGTTTGGGGAGATGTAACGTGAAAGTAGCGATTCCGAAGGTCAGGCGGTGGTTAGAGCCGTGTTTCTGCTACTGTTATAAGTAAACCATTAACCAAGATAAGTGACACCATCGAACGACATAAGGATGTCGTTACACCCGCCATTTCACCGACAAACAAGCCGGAAGAGAAAAATTAGTAAAAGCAATCCGCTGTATCGGCCATAACCTCGGGCGGTCTGAGAGAAAGCGTTGTGTGGCTAATGGTAACGAAGACAAGGTTACAGGGTAAGGCTAGGTTATAAAGTGCGGACGCTGGGGACATGGAATATAAAATGAATAAAAGATCGATTACAAACCAGCCTTGCTAACTGATAAGGTAATTATCCAGGAGGTTTCTCACGTATGGTTCTATCGTCTTAAGTTGCTTAAAATGACATTTTCTCTTGTCCTCCTTTAAATACATCGACATGTAAACGTCTCATAAACTGTTATACATGTTATACTTTTGTTAAACAGTACCTTTTGAATCCAAGTCGTGTATGAATTTCCTGTTCCAATTTCGAACCCATTATACCTTATATAAGATCAAAGGACTGTCCTGATACGGGATCTTAGTTTCAGGAACAAGATGAGTTGATATTGATGAAGAAACAACCTCACCCTACAGTTCGGTAAGAGAATAGGGACCCACAGATACAACCCGAACATAAGTCTGGTAAGAGAATAAGGCCCCACAGATACAACCCGAACATAAGTCTGGTAAGAGAATAAGGCCATCATCATGATTATGGTCCATATTTGATATGAATATAACCAGATTACATTGCGTGCGTTTTTGCAGTTGTTTGTTCGCTTACAACGCATCTTCTTACGCCATCGACATCAGACCTGTAATTGTACGACAGTAATATAAACGTTCAGCTACTATTTTAAATTTTCAACAGTGAAAAAGAAAAGTAGAAAGGTCTCGGCGGATTGATACCTGTTTAAAATATGGCGTCATTCACGCTTCAGCGAGATAACTGCTCTATGACAGCCATTGTTTGATTGCGGGATCAAGTATGTCTGATTACACAACAAAGGGTTGCTGGCAAACTTCTTATACCATGGATGCACATTCGAAATTCTTTGACGGTAAAGTAAACGATGGCGGCTTCCATTTGCGATGTTCGACCGCGTCACAACCAGAGCAGTGTGTCAATGCGTGTATATAACGACCGTTATAAATGAATAACAATTTAGGAAGTGGGCTAATATTATTAAATTTAATATTTAAAAGCGATAAAAAGAAGAAAAATTGTGTTTTCACTGGGTACTTTCTGTCGATATTGATTCTCTGGAACTATATTATTATGGGAGTTACCATCGTTCTAAAGGCCGAGCAGCTAATTGCATACACGGATTTTGTTGTTTATTATACGGAGTAGTAAGTATATAGAGGACTGGTAGTTACCATCGTAGCAACCCGCCTCGACTTTGTTTTCTTTGTTAGCAATTGAATATGACAGTATTTATGATGTAGATATAAGGGCAACACACTCCATAAAGAACATGTTCGTTGCAAACTGCGTTCATAGTACCGTATACGCCTCTTAGATGAAGGTCAATCCTTAAAATAATCAAATTAGTTAAATAACTACAGATTATAAATCTGTGTAATAAACACAAATAGTTAATTTGTGTTATCGTCAAACTGTGTAATAATCAATCTGTGTAGTAATCACAAATAATAAGAGCCGTATATTAATCACAAATACTACAGTCGTATAATAATCACAAATAATAAAGCCGTATAATAATCACTAACAGTCTATCTGTGTAAAAATCAACCTGTGTAATTACAAATATGTAATAATGATTTTTTTTGTACCTAGTGGAATCAAGATCATTGGCGGTATTCACCTAGTGGAATACAGATGATTGGTGGTACTTACCTGTCAGAGTACAGATTATTGGTGACACTTACCTGGCGGAGTACAGATTATTGGTGACACCCACCTGACGGAGTACAGATTATTGGTGACACTTACCTGGCGATATACAGAATATTTTTGACACTTACCTGGCGAGGGCCGAGGTACATATTATAAGTGACACTTACCTGGCGAGGGGCGAGGTACAGATTATAAGTAGCATTTACCTGGCGAGGGGCGAGTTACAGATTATAAGTGGCACTTACCTGGCGGGGGACAGATTATAAGTGACATTACCTGGCGGGGTACAGATTATAAGTTACACTTACCTGGCGGGGCACAGATTATAAGTGACATTGCCTGGCGGGGTACAGATCATAAGTGACACTTACCTCGCGAGGGGCGCGGTACAGATTATAAGTGTCACTTACGTGGCGGGGGGCGGGTCACAGATTATAAGTGACACTTTCCTGGCGGGGGACAGATTATAAGTGACATTACCTGGCGTGGTACAGATTATAAGTGGCACTTGCCTGGCGGGGTACAGATTATAAGGGACACTTACCTGGCGGGGAACAGATTATAAGTGGCCCTTGCCTGGCGGGGTACAGAATATAAGTGGCACTTACCTGGCGGGGGGCGTGGTAAAGATTATAAGTGACACTTTCCTGGCGGGGTACAGATCATAAGTGACACTTACCTGGCGGGGTACAGATTATAAGTGACACTTATCTGGCGGAGGGCGAGGTATAGATTATAAGTGACACTTACCTGGCGGGGTACACATTATAAGTGACACTTACCTGGCGGGGTACAGATAGCTTTGTTTTCCTCCACCACCGTTATATTATGTATGATGTTGCTGATGTTTGTCGCATTGGTAACAGTTGACAGGATGGTCGTGGTCAGATGGTTCACGGCGGCCGATATTTGGATGTAGTCACTCGTTACCATTGGGACGGAATCATCTTTGGACTGATCTGTTACTTCTGCCAAAAGGCCTCCGTATGATTGATTGGTGCTCATGGTCTGCAAAATGTTAATGCAACACTACTATTGGAATAAGGAAGACCAGAAATGCATATAGTGACAAAATGTGTAGTCTTTACCATATTTCACAAATAAAACGGTAGTTATTCAGGCTGCAAGCTAATAAAAAGATCCACAATAAGTGGCAGGCATATTGGTTCAACAATGTGCGTCTCCGTATGTAAAAAAAGGTAGATATGTAAAGTCTAACGTGTAATGTACATCTGTTTTATCGAAAACACTTTCTGCTACGTGTGGAATGAGCAATAAGTGATAAAAATAAAGGATAATTTGTCTAGGGAATCGTTCAGAATTAAATTATCACACCGAAACAAATAACGAAATTTGTGCTAAATAACATACGGGCAGCAATGGTAACAAACAGACATGATCAGTGTAGATTAAACACCGACCTCGAGGACAGGCAGCACTGGTAACAAACTGACATTATCAATGTAGACTAAACACCGACCTCGAGGACAGGCAGCACTGGTTCAGTAACAAACTGACATTGTCAGTGTAGACTAAACACCGACCTCGAGGACAGGCAGCACTGGTTCAGTAACAAACTGACATTATCAGTGTAGACTAAACACCGCCCTCGAGGACAGACAGCACTGGTAACAAACTGACATTATCAGTGTAGATTTAACACCGACCTCTAGGTCAGGGAGCACTGGTAACAAACTGACATTATCAGTGAAGACTAAACACGGATCTCGAGGACAGGCAGCACAGGTAACAAACTGACATTATCAGTGTAGTCTAAACACCGATCTCGAGGACAGGCAGCACGGGTAACAAACTAACACTATCAGTGTAGACTAAACACGGAACTCGAGGACAGGCAGCACGGGTAACAAACTGACATTATCAGTGTAGACTAAACACCGATCTCGAGGACAGGCAGCACGGGTAACAAACTGACATTATCAGTGTAGACTAAACACGGATCTCGAGGACAGGCAGCACGGGTAACAAACTGACATTATCAGTGTAGACTAAACACCGATCTCGAGGACAGGCAGCACGGGTAACAAACTGACATTATCAGTGTAGACTAAACACGGATCTCGAGGACAGGCAGCACGGGTAACAAACTGACATTATCAGTGTAGACTAAACACCGATCTCGAGGACAGGCAGCACGGGTAACAAACTGACATTATCAGTGTAGACTAAACACGGATCTCGAGGACAGGCAGCACGGGTAACAAACTGACATTATCAGTGTAGACTAAACACCGATCTCGAGGACAGGCAGCACGGGTAACAAACTGACATTATCAGTGTAGACTAAACACGGATCTCGAGGACAGGCAGCACGGGTAACAAACTGACATTATCAGTGTAGACTAAACACCGATCTCGAGGACAGGCAGCACGGGTAACAAACTGACATTATCAGTGTAGACTAAACACGGATCTCGAGGACAGGCAGCACGGGTAACAAACTGACATTATCAGTGTAGACTAAACACCGATCTCGAGGACAGGCAGCACGGGTAACAAACTGACATTATCAGTGTAGACTAAACACGGATCTCGAGGACAGGCAGCACGGGTAACAAACTGACATTATCAGTGTAGACTAAACACCGATCTCGAGGACAGGCAGCACGGGTAACAAACTGACATTATCAGTGTAGACTAAACACGGATCTCGAGGACAGGCAGCACGGGTAACAAACTGACATTATCAGTGTAGACTAAACACCGATCTCGAGGACAGGCAGCACGGGTAACAAACTGACATTATCAGTGTAGACTAAACACGGATCTCGAGGACAGGCAGCACGGGTAACAAACTGACATTATCAGTGTAGACTAAACACCGATCTCGAGGACAGGCAGCACGGGTAACAAACTGACATTATCAGTGTAGACTAAACACGGATCTCGAGGACAGGCAGCACGGGTAACAAACTGACATTATCAGTGTAGACTAAACACCGATCTCGAGGACAGGCAGCACGGGTAACAAACTGACATTATCAGTGTAGACTAAACACGGATCTCGAGGACAGGCAGCACGGGTAACAAACTGACATTATCAGTGTAGACTAAACACCGATCTCGAGGACAGGCAGCACGGGTAACAAACTGACATTATCAGTGTAGACTAAACACGGATCTCGAGGACAGGCAGCACGGGTAACAAACTGACATTATCAGTGTAGACTAAACACCGATCTCGAGGACAGGCAGCACGGGTAACAAACTGACATTATCAGTGTAGACTAAACACGGATCTCGAGGACAGGCAGCACGGGTAACAAACTGACATTATCAGTGTAGACTAAACACCGATCTCGAGGACAGGCAGCACGGGTAACAAACTGACATTATCAGTGTAGACTAAACACGGATCTCGAGGACAGGCAGCACGGGTAACAAACTGACATTATCAGTGTAGACTAAACACCGATCTCGAGGACAGGCAGCACGGGTAACAAACTGACATTATCAGTGTAGACTAAACACGGATCTCGAGGACAGGCAGCACGGGTAACAAACTGACATTATCAGTGTAGACTAAACACCGATCTCGAGGACAGGCAGCACGGGTAACAAACTGACATTATCAGTGTAGACTAAACACGGATCTCGAGGACAGGCAGCACGGGTAACAAACTGACATTATCAGTGTAGACTAAACACCGATCTCGAGGACAGGCAGCACGGGTAACAAACTGACATTATCAGTGTAGACTAAACACGGATCTCGAGGACAGGCAGCACGGGTAACAAACTGACATTATCAGTGTAGACTAAACACCGATCTCGAGGACAGGCAGCACGGGTAACAAACTGACATTATCAGTGTAGACTAAACACGGATCTCGAGGACAGGCAGCACGGGTAACAAACTGACATTATCAGTGTAGACTAAACACCGATCTCGAGGACAGGCAGCACGGGTAACAAACTGACATTATCAGTGTAGACTAAACACGGATCTCGAGGACAGGCAGCACGGGTAACAAACTGACATTATCAGTGTAGACTAAACACCGATCTCGAGGACAGGCAGCACGGGTAACAAACTGACATTATCAGTGTAGACTAAACACGGATCTCGAGGACAGGCAGCACGGGTAACAAACTGACATTATCAGTGTAGACTAAACACCGATCTCGAGGACAGGCAGCACGGGTAACAAACTGACATTATCAGTGTAGACTAAACACGGATCTCGAGGACAGGCAGCACGGGTAACAAACTGACATTATCAGTGTAGACTAAACACCGATCTCGAGGACAGGCAGCACGGGTAACAAACTGACATTATCAGTGTAGACTAAACACGGATCTCGAGGACAGGCAGCACGGGTAACAAACTGACATTATCAGTGTAGACTAAACACCGATCTCGAGGACAGGCAGCACGGGTAACAAACTGACATTATCAGTGTAGACTAAACACGGATCTCGAGGACAGGCAGCACGGGTAACAAACTGACATTATCAGTGTAGACTAAACACCGATCTCGAGGACAGGCAGCACGGGTAACAAACTGACATTATCAGTGTAGACTAAACACGGATCTCGAGGACAGGCAGCACGGGTAACAAACTGACATTATCAGTGTAGACTAAACACCGATCTCGAGGACAGGCAGCACGGGTAACAAACTGACATTATCAGTGTAGACTAAACACGGATCTCGAGGACAGGCAGCACGGGTAACAAACTGACATTATCAGTGTAGACTAAACACCGATCTCGAGGACAGGCAGCACGGGTAACAAACTGACATTATCAGTGTAGACTAAACACGGATCTCGAGGACAGGCAGCACGGGTAACAAACTGACATTATCAGTGTAGACTAAACACCGATCTCGAGGACAGGCAGCACGGGTAACAAACTGACATTATCAGTGTAGACTAAACACGGATCTCGAGGACAGGCAGCACGGGTAACAAACTGACATTATCAGTGTAGACTAAACACCGATCTCGAGGACAGGCAGCACGGGTAACAAACTGACATTATCAGTGTAGACTAAACACGGATCTCGAGGACAGGCAGCACGGGTAACAAACTGACATTATCAGTGTAGACTAAACACCGATCTCGAGGACAGGCAGCACGGGTAACAAACTGACATTATCAGTGTAGACTAAACACGGATCTCGAGGACAGGCAGCACGGGTAACAAACTGACATTATCAGTGTAGACTAAACACCGATCTCGAGGACAGGCAGCACGGGTAACAAACTGACATTATCAGTGTAGACTAAACACGGATCTCGAGGACAGGCAGCACGGGTAACAAACTGACATTATCAGTGTAGACTAAACACCGATCTCGAGGACAGGCAGCACGGGTAACAAACTGACATTATCAGTGTAGACTAAACACGGATCTCGAGGACAGGCAGCACGGGTAACAAACTGACATTATCAGTGTAGACTAAACACCGATCTCGAGGACAGGCAGCACGGGTAACAAACTGACATTATCAGTGTAGACTAAACACGGATCTCGAGGACAGGCAGCACGGGTAACAAACTGACATTATCAGTGTAGACTAAACACCGATCTCGAGGACAGGCAGCACGGGTAACAAACTGACATTATCAGTGTAGACTAAACACGGATCTCGAGGACAGGCAGCACGGGTAACAAACTGACATTATCAGTGTAGACTAAACACCGATCTCGAGGACAGGCAGCACGGGTAACAAACTGACATTATCAGTGTAGACTAAACACGGATCTCGAGGACAGGCAGCACGGGTAACAAACTGACATTATCAGTGTAGACTAAACACCGATCTCGAGGACAGGCAGCACGGGTAACAAACTGACATTATCAGTGTAGACTAAACACCGATCTCGAGGACAGGCAGCACGGGTAACAAACTGACATTATCAGTGTAGACTAAACACGGATCTCGAGGACAGGCAGCACGGGTAACAAACTGACATTATCACTGTAGACTAAACACCGATCTCGAGGACAGGCAGCATTGGTACAAGTAACAAA